CTATCTTTTAAAAAAATCTATAGACTTGATCTTACTCTAATGAGCCTAATTATAAAGATTGGTATCAGAAAGTGAAATCCAATCCATCTGCATTGTTTCCACGTCTTCTTGTTGATGTTTTGAATGTTTCCTGCCTCTGGCTCATTCCTGGCTTGCCCAGATTTGTTTCTCTACTCTTAACCTCTTGAAAAGCCACAGGTTCAAGTGCATTAGCCTTCATTCCTGCATTTATAAATGTGCAGAAATTCGATCTGAACACCAAAAACACACTCTACCAGTAGCTTTATGAAATTGTACAACTGGTTTAGATTTTTTGAAAGATGCATACATTTCTATCCAATGTTTCTGGGAAAATCATTAACATTCCCCTTTCTTAAGTGTTTCCAATTCTTGAGGGTATATAGTCCTTTGCATTTTTCTTCCCCTTTTACGCAGTAGGTATTCAGGCATGTAGAAACAGGGAGACCCTGGGGAAACACCTTTTTTATAACAATGTTCAATCATGCTTCAATATTTTGTGCTATACCAAACCAAAGTATTGACTGAGCTGATTGGCTGGGGAAGCAATCAGATCAAATGATGAGTTTAAAAGCAAAACATCATGTTTTAGAGCCAGAAAACCTAAATATCAAGAATGCATCCTTTACCATCAAACATCTAGAATAGACACTGCCCTGCTGAATCGACATTTTAAAGTTGCATGCCACCAGTCCCTAAGGATTAGAGTTGGAGACCAGTTTAGAGTCAGGAAACATGCAGCTAACATCTCTGCAGACTGCAGTTAAAAGCCCAATAAAATCTGGAAATTATAAATCAGTTTATGTTCTTTTGAAGGAATCTAAGTAATTAGTGAAGTAAGCAAAGTCCTATTAAAACATGAAGACAAGGAATGAAATATACTGCTGTGAATCTTTATACTGATGAGTCTGTGATCTACAGCCACTCTTAAGCCATTCATTTTGTTTTTTCATATTTTCAGGATTCCTTTGACATTATTCAGTCTCAGCTTTTAGGCATTTGGTTGAAACTGAATTTAGGTAAATTTAAGATATGCTCTCCTTACAAAGCAGGTTTCCTCACCTCTGCCTAAAATTCAGAAAACAAGAGCAATACATTGATTTTGTATCAGGCTATAAATACCTGGGCATACATATTAATGATTTATTCAGGTTATATCCACAATCTGTTGAAAAAGCTAAAGCTAAGAGGATAATTTTATCATATCAGGCCAGAAATGTTTTATAATTTTCACCGTAATACTGTAAATGCTTTAGACTATGGAGATGTTGTCGAATGAAAATGTATTTACGCATGCTAGACACTGTGTTTTATGGAGCGCTTATTACAGTATGGAGTGAGTTTTGTTCCATTATTATTGCAGCCAAAGAATACATGAAAAAATTTGAATGTACATGTATATATTTTTTTTTTATTGTCGAGATCTACAACTGTGAGATGCTTCTTAATGAAATAAATAAATTTTCGGAGTAACTTTGCTGTTTTCCCAGATTTAATATATATATATATATTTATTTATCTTTTCATTTGTTTCCTGTTCTTTTTTAATGCTTTTTCCTCCAATAAATTTTTTTCAAATTTGCTTTATCAACAGAATTGCTTTTTACTAATGGCTTTTTGGAGTGAGGAAGAAAGACACTTTTCTATTTGTTTACAAAATTATTATAGGCTAATGTGCAGGTTCAGAGCAAGCATTAGTATTTTCCTTCAAGTGAAGAGAATGTGATCCGTAAAAAGCATTTCGAAAAGATTGAAATTAATAAAACTTAATCTAAAAAAGAGAAACCCTATATAAGTTTAAAAAAACAAAATAAAATTTAAACTAATTATTCTAAGAAAGCTTTTAAAGTTACTCCTAAGTGCTTTTTTTAAATTTAAGAAGTTGTATTTTCAACCAAAAACAGAAGACAGGTTCTGATGTCTGCATTTGGTCATAACTCAGCATCATATCTAGATTTTTTACTTTCTCTTAGACCTATTTCCTGCTACTCCTAACCTCACCTCCTCTCCAGGTCTCCTGGGAATACTTTCTCTGTAAGTCCTTTCATACATCAGTCTGATTCATGACCTGCCCATGCCTTAAACCCTGCATCTGCACCCGAGGACTGTTTAAGTCACAGACGTGCATATGGGTTCTATATGTGTATTTGCACATATTCAAGAACAAAAGGAAGAGCAAACAATGCAGGAAGTTTTAACGCCCACGCTCTCTGGTGTTCACTGTATAGGGAGAGAGAGAGAGAGAGAGAGAGCACAGCTGGGACACACCCTATTATCCATCCATCTGTGCAAATATGTTAACTTTGAAGTATGACACTAGGGTGTGGGCTGTTACTGGAAGCCTTTCTAGAGGTTTCCCCAAAATCATTTATATTTCAATCTAGGGTTAGGCTAACTGTGAACATGATAGAGCTGTTTTTGTTTTCATACTTTCTAGTGATTGAGACTAAGATGGAGATTTCTAGAAAGAGAGACAACTAGCGGTTGCTGTAGAAAACCAAAACTTCCTTTGGTTATAGGGTTGGGAATTGAAAAGATTTTCACGATTCCGATTCCCTTTTCGATTCTATGAAACGATTCGATTTTTTATCGATTCTTTTTTCGATTCCAATTTGGGGGAAAAAGGAGAACAAACAGTTTGATTATCAGCATCAACTTTGTTTACTTAACTATTGCAAAATCTTACAAACTCAACAAGATCAAGATGTCCACAGGAAATATGAAACTGCAGTAACATCTGTGTTTAAATGAAAAATGAATACAAGAACAAACTTAATAACCAACAATTTCTAATAACAAATGATGGGATAATAACCTATTTCAAATAACAAAAAATACTAATTATAAAACAGTAGTAGGGAAAATTAACAGTTATTTTGCAGAAAGATGAGCATATCTGCTTTTTCTGGAAGGATACGGGATCTTTCAGGGCTTATGGTGTCTCCAGCCGTGGAGAACACCCTCTCAGATGGGGTTGAGGAAGCCTGCACACAGAGGTAGTTTTCAGCCAGTCCAGATAGCAAGGGCAGCGTATCTTGCTTGTTCCACCACCACAGTGTGGCGCTATCCCTGCAGGGGATGGAGGGGAAGCTTTTATAGAGCTGGATTTCCTGATCTACCCTCTGGGCCAAGGAAAGACGGGGCTTTGATTCACAAAGTGACCGCAGCTCGTTGTCTTCCTCCTCGAATAGTTCTTCCAACTTGCGTAACTTGCGTAACTTGTGTAACTTACGTAACTTACGTAAAAAACGTGACGTAAGTCGTGCTCCCCAGAGCCGGCGCTCTAGGCTCTGGTGCTGCGGGAATCGAAAAAAGAATCGTTCAGCGAGCTGCCAAACGATGCCATGGAATCGGAAAATACGGAACCGGTTCTGAACAGGAACCGGTTTTCGATTCCCATCCCTATTTGGTTATCTTAAGAATATGATAGACTGAGGGTTTGCTTTTCCTGGTACGAGTATATGGCATAATGAACATGGAAAGAGAACATTCGAAAAACATTCGCCAAAGTGGAACCTTCAGACACCATCTCTTTGTCAGCTGAAACATTTGCAAATGTCACAGGAGATAAATCATGTCACGGTCTTGGTTCTGTTAAGTTTTCTTTTGAGTTTTTTTTTTTTTTACTTTGATCCATGTTCATCTTTGGTTTTTAGTTTTATTGGTTTAATTCCTATTTTGTTGTGTTTTCTGGATGTATTTGAGCTCTTAGGTTTTTCTTGATTGCTCTCTGTTGCCCTCTTGTGTTGGTCTCCTTTTCCCTAGTTCCCTTCTAGAATCCTCAGTTCACACCTGCTCCCAATTAGCTCCTTAGTGCTGTCTTTGTTCAGTTTTCCATATATACTCTCCCTGTTCAGTTCCTCAGTGCTGGTTGCTCGTCTTTTCCTGGCTTCCAACGTGAGTTTTCCCATGAAGTTGTCTGGTTTTTGGTTCCATGTATTTTGCACTTTGTTTTTTTTATTTTTTTCCCTCAGTTATTAGATTAAATGCTCAAATCTAAAATAATTAAAAGGTAGGGATGGTTATGTTTTATTTATTTTCTTTCCATTTAACTTAATTATTAAGTAGGAAAAAGGTTGAAATATATTTCGACTATGTCGCATTACAGAAAAAAGAATTATTTCAACAATAATATATGAAATAAGAAAGTCATAAAACAAACCCTGGATTCTTCTAACTACGTAAGCTGTTATCAATAGCAGGTGAGACGTTGGTTGATTCTAGCTAATCTAGTTGATGGATCTGATCATCACATATTACATCCAAAACAATGAAAAACCTATTTTTAGATAGAGATGTTGGCTTTATCAAAGTACAACATACACCTCATTAAAGGTTATTTTCAAAAGGTACTTTTATTTAGATAGAGTCGCATGAAGCACCTTTATCCACTGTTAAAGTTGTTATTCATTGAGCTCCATTTACAAATGATTTGGCTTTAAAACTGGACTATTTTAAGAACAAGACTGTCTTTGAGTATTATACAGCTGGATCCTATTTAAAAGCCTTGTTCTGTCTTGTGTATGTTTGAGGATCTTTCAGGTTTCACGCACACCCTCGCATGCTGGGAATCCAACGAGCAGCGAAACACACATCCTGCTGTTGCACACACTGTATACACGCTCCCATAGACATAGGAAGATTTACAATATGCTGGGGGGGCATAAATCACACATAGTCTAAACCCATGGATCACTATTGATGCTAGTGGAAACAATGGGTTTTAATGGTCTATAATTGTTTACAGGCGTAGTTTATCTGCAGACAGAACAGAACACATGGCCGAACACCACAAGAGGATTTTCTTTATTTCTCCCTTTTTGTCTGATTTTTTTTCTTTGTTTTTCATTTTATTTCTCTGTAAGGACGTTTTGCTTATATTTTTTGTTTTTGATTGAAAGTCAGGAAAGATGAAAGGAAGGAAATGTGTCATAAGGAGGCAAAGGTAGGAAGGAAACAACATAAACATGGGAAACTGAACATAGGACTGAAATGCAGATAGGAGTTTTAATGCTTGTTTTCTGTTTTCCATACAAATCCAGGCGGCACTGTAACTCAGAAACACTTTTTTTTTCTCATCTGAAGCCAGAGAGGGAATGGATCTTGGACCGCTGTTGTGTTACCAGAGTAAAAACAGATTCAAAATCATTGCAGCAGCTTTTAAAACATATACATTGAGTCCTTGTAAAACTTGGTGGAAAAAACAAACATTGATGGAGTTTACATCAAATGTTAAAACCTTTGAACATGTCAAATGTCCATCTATTTATGGCTAATTCTGGGCTGATGGGATTGTTTTAAAATACAGTTAATAGCTTAAGGATTCTTCTCTCTTTATGCACGAATAAATAGAAATGAAGCGTTTTTAACTTTTTTTTCTTTGCATCACTTTGAAGTTTGTATAAGGTCCTATAATTTGTATAAGTTATTAGATTAAGTTATAAAGTCCTGCCTGGACATAATAACTACACTTTTAAAGATTTCTTACTTTTTTTCTTATATTTTGCGCTAAAACTCAGCTCATCCTTTAGAATCTAGTCTTATTAACTTAAATTTATTACTTCTCTACAATTTCACAACACCCTGCCATTTTTTAAATGCTCACATCCAGTCATATTTAAGGCGATTAAAGCAAATCTCCAGGTTTCCTGTGAAGCCTCTACATCTTTGTGAATAGTTGGTCAGCAGCCAGGCCTTCCATCCCTTCCTCCTCTGCTAATATCTTCCTTTGGAACTCCTAAAAAAGGAAACAGGACTTTAGAGAATTAAAGGGATTTTATTGTAAAGGACTTTAGGAAAGTTATGATAATGAGCTTTGAAACTGAAAATAGATAATTTCCAGATTCCTAGGGCAAAAATGAAAAACTTCTCCTTTGGTCACATTACAACCATAATCTAATATTTAAAATTACAATTTTTTGGGGATGAACCAAGAAAGGTTATGGGTATGTTTTGTATATGAGCAGCTACAGTTATGGCTGCATGACAACAGGTTTCAATTCTCCACCTGAGCTTGTTTTGATCAATCTTTCTAGCTCCCCCAGTCCTCCAAAGAGCTTTGGATGCCTCAACTCTAGATCTGTAGCTGCAGAAGCTGTAACTGTGATGTTTCATGTCCTATAGTCTACAATAAGGCAGATGCTTCATTTGACACTAGCAGTTTGCAGTTGAGAAACAGATGATATGAGGGAAAGCTCAGGATCTACAGGGGCCAAACGGTTACCTCCCCTCCAGCTCTGCTTGTTGCACTTTCTGTCACTATATCCTTGCTTTAACCATGGATGTTCATGACAATACACAGTAAAATAAAAACCATAAAAGAAAAAACCAATTAATATTATAAATTGACTTTCTTGTTTTCCATGACAAAGCTTATGGTTCATCATTCGCTTATTTTTTGTTATCCTAACTGCACAATAAACATGAAAAAGAAAAAAAAAATTTTTTTCATGCTTGTATCTATTCACAAACCAGTATTTCATGCTCTTCTGCATGCTCGTCTCATTTTTCCTCCCCTCACCCTGAATCTGTGGATTCTGGTCAGCCGGTCCTGCAGAGTCTTTTCCTGGCTGCAGGTCACCTCTGCTATGTGAGTCCTCCACTGCTGCTCCTTTTCCTATAAAACAAAACTGCATTTCTCACATACATTTGTATAAACAAACAACATTAAAAAAATTTCATTGTACTGTTGAAGAGGCTGCAGATAGAACACAGTGACTTAGTCTATGCTGGTGTTTGTGGTCTATGCTGTCTTTTAAAACATTGCGCCAGAGGTGTGCACATACTTTTTGAAGTGCAGGGGCAGAAAAAAAAGGGCACATATAGAGCATGTTTGCTATTCCATCTCCCAAGAGGGCACTTTAGCACAGTTTTCAGCTCTCAAAGGGGCTCTTTAACACATGCTTTGGTACAAGTACCCTCCTGAGAGGGTACTTATTTGCAGTTTTGCTCCTTAGAGGGAACTTTAACACATGTTTTGGTTCCCAAGGAGGTCCTTAGCACATTTTTTGGCTCCCGAGAGAGTACTTGATTGCAATTTAGCACGTGTTTTGACTGTCAAGAGGGCACTTTAGCACAATTTTCAGCTCTCAAAGGGGCACTTTAAAACATGCTTTGGTACAAGTACCCTCCTGAGAGGGTACTTATTTGCAGTTTTGCTCCTTAGCACATTTTTTGGCTCCCGAGAGAGTGCTTGATTGCAATTTAGCACATGTTTTTGCTCCTGAGAGGGCTATTTAGCACATGTTTTTTGCTTCCAAGGGTGACTTAAGCATTTTTGCTCCTCCTGAGAGGGCACTTTAGGGCAGTTTATTACTTTCCGCAAAAGTTTAAAAAGTTTAATACGTTTTAAGCTCAATGCCATGCTAATGAAGAACTTCCACCATATTGGTGTTCCACAACTATCCCCTGAAATTGTGTATAACTGCTTTAAAATGAACAAACTCCATATTTAACATTGACCATAAAGACCCTTTAAGAGCTGAACCTTGATAACCCTCCATTTTGTAGCCAAACTCTGCATTCTTATTTGTATGTGATCAGTTTGATTTGCAGAACTGGTAAAATATTGTGTCTTTCTTGGTTTCAGCAGCAACCTCTCAATTGATGCCAATATAAACTGCAATGGTGTAAATAAGTTGTTTTTTCGTCTGCATCTACTGATTTTCCAAGTGTTTCTAGGTATTGTTCAGGTTTATTGTTTTTTTTTTTATGAACAACCAAATCTATTTTGTTCTTTCTTACAATCTTCTGAAAAAAGAAAAAAGAAAGGATCTTTCTATATATATATATATATATATGAGCACCCTGTATAAGACATTTTTTAATAATTAACAACAGTCTGGAAATCCCCCAGGTACAACACTATATCAGAACATAAGTTTTACTAGTGTTACACCGCAGGCTCCTAAGTAGATGTGAAATGAAAAGTGCTGCGGCTGGAGGCAGTTTACCCCTGACCTCAAATTGGTCTCCCTTGGATCAACTTTCTGTGTGTGCTTGTATGTTTTTAGGGGAAAAAAATTGTATGTGCCTGAAAAAAGACGGAATTGGTAATATTTTGTCCTCGTGTATTGAAGACTTGACATGGGATACATGTGAAATGGCAAGGCGCAATTCCTCCAGGTGACCTTTGCCTGCCATCGATTAACATTTCTGTCATGCTGCGTACTTGTGTATGTGTGTATGTGTGTGTGTGTATATGTGTGTGTGTGTGTGCGACTGTTTCAACAGCTGTAGATTATAGAGGAAGTTGATGTTAGCAAGGGAGACATTTAGTTTGATGTCTGTCATTCTAAAGAAGAAGACAAGCTTAAACACATGTGGAGGAGGTGAAAGCAGTTAAGCCTTTACCGCTTCAACATTGTACCGGACATAAGCACTTACTCTAGTGCTATTTTCTGAAGGAACTGCCAGTACATGCTATTTGCAATCTGTCACAAAATGGTGATTTGTTTAATCTATTTTTGAATATGAAAATGTAATGGATTTAGCCATGCATAGATAAATTCAAGTATTATTTAGTGCCTCAGATTAAAAGAGAGTACAGCTGGCCATGTGGCTTCATTGAAAGCTGCTGCTGCCGCAGTGCATGCTGGGACAGCTGTCAATTTCAAGAATGGGCAAGTCTGCTCTGATGCATACTTGGTAAATAGGAAGGGGCGAGAACGATATCCGGGGACTCTGTCCATTCTCTGTCTAATGTTCTTGTGAATTGAGCTGAGGCTGATGACGTTTCACGAGTACACAAGCACACGAGCACACGAGAACGCACAAGTACAAAGATTAAGAAATGGCCCTTGTTATTTATTTCTTTTTTTTTTCAATGGCGAGTTTTGGACATTCACAGCATTTGTGTAATGCTTGCCTTCTTTTCCAGAAAGGCTACAGTCCCAGTTTGACCATTGCCACTCACGTGTGTCCGCTGTGTAATAATGCCTTTAATACACAGCAGTCAGAGTTCCTTTTCTACCCTGGAAAGTGTTCCTACTGTTGACATCACTAAAGGTGAAGAGGTAGGAGCTAATAATAAGCGGTAGAAGCTACAATTTGAGGTATTCACTTAGAGCCACGGTCTTGCTTTTAGTTGCCTTTGGCCAAAATGTGCCATATGATAAAAGTTGCCTTGCCTTGATTTAGCCACCAGGGGGACTGATTTAGTAGGACATACTTTTCTTCATAAAAACAGGGGATAAAAAAAAAAAACAGTTACAAGCCAAAACCTTTTGAAACTTACCAATCGTGATTACAGATAACAACCCAAACTCATGCCTGCTGAGTGCCGCCTGTGTATGTTGGCAAGCATGTGGTTTCATTCTCAACAGACTGTTGAGAGGAATCTCACTACTTTTATAATGAAGCCAGTACAAACAGACCTTTTGCTGTACTCTCTGCATGCATAGGCATGGAATTGACTGGTTTGCAAGGTATCCCTCCCGAAAAGCAGGAGTTCTACGTGGTTGAGTCACCATTAAAAAAACAACAGGAACCAAACACATACTTTCACAATTGAGGATCACTTTTAGAGATGTTGAAGAACTTTAGCACTAATTGGATTTGATAACTGATGCATTGCAGATATTTTTCCAGTGTGAAGGGGGCACAGCACTAAGATTCTAGCATGAATAATTGGTCAAGACATTAAATATCCTAGGGTGACCAAACGTCCGTATTTCCCGGGACATATCCGTATTTCACGTCCTGTCCTGGGCGTCCCAAGTTTTTTTTAGAAAGTGAGGAAATGTCCTGATTTTTTAAATTACCATAATTGGACCATTAAATTTACAGGCAGTAGGGCACTGCGCACGACGCTGCGTGTGACGTAATCCCTGAGCCGCGTCAGTGCGGGCAGCCCTGTTCTTAATCAGAGGCTCTGTTCGAAAACCTGGGCTGCATCCTCCAAGGACGCGGTCTACCTAGACTGGATCCTTCGAAGTCCTTGAAAATAAGGAGGCCGGAAGAGTTTTGTCTGTAAATTCGAACAGGTCTACCCTTCGGCGGGTTTTACCGCCGTATGCTCTGTTGCTTAGCAACCGTGAAAGTTGACACACAAAGCAGGAAAAGAATGAATACCGAGGTTTTCAAAACTGTTTATTTATTTATTTAAAAAAAAAAGTTAAAGTGAACAAAGACTACATTAACAAGAATCCAGAGTGGAATAAATGTTTCAACAGCCGGGACCAGGAACAAATCAAATCAAATGTAATGATAGAAACCTTAGTCAGTTAAATAACCTGCTGCTGTCATTCTGCACATCTCTGATGTTGCTCCTTTTTTCAAATATCCATTATTGTAAAAATGTCCATAGCTGCATATTGGTTATTTATTCTCCATTTTTATATTGTTCAAACACTTTACAGAATTGTATTTTTTATATTTTAACTCTTCCCTATTATGTTATTCTTATACATTTTTCTAAGGTCCTCATTTGTGTGACCATTTTTAATAATCTTTCTGCTGCTGTAAATTTGCCCATTGTGGGACAATAAAGGGATTTTCTATTCCATAAAAGGGTTAGAAATATGTAAGTAAATCTAAACAATGAACGTACAAAATATATCTGCAAAATCTCTAATATTCAAAAACAAAAAATCCTTAGTTAAGCATATTGTGCAAAACAACAATAAAAAAAATTAAACTCCTATCAGATTTATAGTTCCCACTCTGTAGATTTATTAGAATCTGTCCTTAAATTACAGCCAAACCCATTTACACAGTAACAGATGAAAACTTTTAGATAAATCAAACATTACAGCCACATATCTGACTCTATAACCATTAAAACAACTATTTTCATTCATTTCAGATGGAACTATTCACAGACTTGTATTATATCAAGCTGAACTTCCAATATTCACCACTGTTCGGCGCCAAGTAACATTTCCTCTGATCAATGAGCAAATCCCGATGATGAGACATTGTTTCTTTCATTGTGCATTTTTAATAAATATATTTTGAATAAAATTATCGTCTGTTATTGGAGTTATTGCTGTTGACTTTTACTGAAAAGCATTTCTAATAAATTAACTGTAAATATGATGTTATTGTAGGATTATGTAGGCCTAGGTTAAGTTAGTGCACGCCACAGACCCCCCAAAAGCCCGTTAATCAGCTTTCAATTAAAATCAGCTGTGCTGGAGAAAGGAAACCTCTAAAAACTGGAGGACAGGGGGCCTCGAGGACCGAGGTTGGGGATGCCTGGTCTATGGTGTAGTCCAGTGGTCTCCAACCCTGGTCCTCAAGATCTACTGTCCTACAGATTTTAGATGCATCCCTGCTTCAACACAGCTGAATCAAATGAATGGCTTGAAAAGGTAATTAATCATTTGATTCAGCTGTGTTGAAGCAGGGATGCATCTAAAATCTGTAGGACAGTAGATCTTGAGGACCAGGGTTGGAGACCACTGGTGTAGTCTATTTGAGCAGTGGCCTATCTGTGGCTGAGAGGAATCGGTTGATAAGCTCATCAGGAAGACCAGCTCTGTGATTGGATGCCCCCTGGACTCAGTGCAGGTGATGGGAAACAAAACGACAAAAAATAAAATAAAATCTCTGTTAGATTATGTCTCCCACTCCATCCATGAAGTTGTTTCTGAACTTGAGAGCTCCTATATGCACAAAGGAGCATTATATCAGATCTCTCCATTAAAAATACAGTAAAAGCTAAATAACTATTTGGTGAGCTTTTTTGGAAGCGAAGTAGCTTTATTGTCTCTGGAGAGTCTGAGGAATTTTATTCTCTCATTTCTGAAACAAACTTACTTGCAAACTTAATAGGTAAGCATTGTACTTTTCCTGCCAGGGGTCTAAATTTGGAAAAATTATGCATTGCCAAATTCCCGAACTATCATTAGTTGATGGCTGCACAGTCTGGTTTTAAATGAGCAGTTTGTATGCATGTAACTTGTCTTGAAGTATATATGTCTAAAGGTCTTCATAGGGAGTCAAAGGAAAGTAAAGCCAATACTAAGGGTTACTTTCCTTGTCCTGAGGGTTCCTGTCTGAACAGAAACAGCTGACCACATCCTTTTGCTGACCTGATGCACTCCTGTCAGAATACAGGCCTTCCCAGCTGTGTTGTTATGTGTGTACATTCCACATTCTGTTGTGGAGGTGGTCTACGTTATTTAAAATGAAGCCACACGTTGATCTTGCAGCTATTTCCTTTTTCCTAAGTGCCAAATGTGTTCCTGCTGCCTGCTACGTGTGTGTTCGCTTGTGTTTGTCTGTGCAGGCGTAACCGACTGATAAGACCTGACTGTGGGCCAGAGTTTCCATGTTTCCATGGGAGTGAATCTGATTTAGCCTGCAGCTGAGTGAACCTGGATGACAATTTAACACTCTTCGATGCGGGTTTACTCCACTGCGAGGTTGTTTAGCCTCATCTTTCTTGCCAACAGAATAAAAAAAAACAGGCAGGGGCCATAATATGTATAAGCCTACTGATCCATGCCTAACCAGCCAGGATAATTTACAGAATAACAGTGATTGCATTAAAGTTTTGTACTGGAAAATCAAACCTATTGAAGGTTTTGTTTGGGAACTTTACCACTGATGTGTAAGTTAGACATGGATTACAGATAAAACAAGTTGGAGGAGAAGCAGGCTCACTGCCCAGCGCAACGTTCTGTCAGGGATGGACAGATCAAAAACATGTGCTCTCTGTTGTATGGAGTGAAATTCTTTCCATTGGTGTTTACAAGCAAACGTCACGTTAGGAAAATTTGTAAATGGAAGTTTTTGAAACAGTTATAAAAAAAAAATCTCCTTTTGTAAATGTTAGTTTAATATATGCTGTCCAGAAACTTATTAACAAAGAAATTTATTGTAACTTTATTTTTCTTAGATTCTATTAAAAAAAAAAAAGAAAAAAGAAAATTTTGCATTTTTTAAAATTTTATTTCTTCAAATTACAAATGGTATTTTACAGACCACATTCTCGGGGTGATCTTTCTCATAGGGATGAGAATCAAAGACACATTTCTATTGGTCTGTTAGGTTTTAGCAAATCTGACAGAGTGTTTGTACTGAACTTAACGTGAAGAATTATCTGTGGCTGTTTCCGAACATCCGCCCGAATCACTATATAGGACACTATATAATGGTTAAGCAAATTCAAACAAGCGTCAGAACGTCTAGTGGATGAAACAGTAGTGGACTCAAAATTTCCCAAAATGCACCTTGAAAAGATGAGCAGATATATCACAGAAGGGTTTACAAGAGCTCTTTACGCAAAGCCTCATGGGATATGTTGTAGCGGCGACAAATAACAAAGATGGTACAGGCACCGGATCCGGAGTCAGGTGACCAATGGGGAGGGAAAAGTAGTGATCATCTGTCCGAAAGGTCACTATGAAGTCCACTATATATAACAGTTTCCAGGCACAGGACCCCCAAACCGATGGTGAGATGTGAGATATAAATATATATATATTAGGGATGGAACAGTTTATGAAAACCGTCTGTACCGTTCGGTTCGACTGTCTCGGTTCGATTTGCGTGTGTTGCGTTTACACTCCAGAGCAGAAGGTGGCGGTACTGCGACCAAAGCCAACCACCAGTAGTAAACAAGAAGAAGAAGAAGCGAAGCAGCGTTGCAGGGTGTAGCTGAAAAAAATCAGTTGTTATGGAGAATTGTGTGGGTATGGCGAGTGGGAAAGAACAGGAGTTGGAAGACGCGCCAGCAGCACTTTATAGGTCTGCTGTATGGGACCACTTTGCATTTAGAGTGACCTACGATGACGCCAGAAAGAAAGTTGTGGATAAAAGTGCAACAGTGTGCAAGCATTGTGCAACACGTTTTGTTTATGCTAACAGCAACATGACCAACATGTCATGCTAACCCCGAAATCCCTCATACTCCGTCAGCAACCCCCGCTCCGCCCCGCTGCGCTCCAGACCGGCTGCTCAAAGCAAAGCCTACAGCCTCCACTGTGGCTCCCGTCCGCTCCGCTCTGAGTTCCTTGGAGATGGTAGACAGCATGCGCGAGATCATTAAATTCAAAGCAGCAAAACATACGGAAATGATCCAGGGTTTCCGCGGATCATTAAAAATAATTACAATTCATTATTTTTTGGGGGATTTTTTCATTCATTGCATACATTTTTATGGGATTTCGGTGTAACAATCAACATATACCGAATCGAACCGAACCGAAAACCGTGACCACGAAACCGTGAACCGAGCCGAACCGTGGATTTTGTGAACCGTTCCACCCCTAATATATATATATATATATATATATATATATATATATATATATATATATACACAACAACAACAAAAAAACAACAAAAAAATAGGATTTATTAAAACAAACTTTGAAAATATAAAATATTAAGAATACATTTGAGAGAAAAAATTATTCTAAAAAAATTTTTATTTGAAAATATAAATGATCAATAATTAATTTGAAAAGAAAAAAAAAAACTAAATCTAAAAATAAACAGAGAGAAAAGTTTGGGCTTCAAATATCTGGTCATTAGCAGGAAGCCTTCACTGAAAGCACTCCAGACTATTAATGGCTTCCCTCCAAACTCCTCAGCCTTTTGCTCCCCCTGAGATCCCGGGCTGCTACTAACTGCGTTGACAGCTAGAATTATCTGTCAATACACCAGTCAGTCACAGTTACTACTGCTTGGCTGCTGCGTGCAACCTGTGTATGAGTCTTGGCAAGCGTGTGGTCTCATCATGCCGGTGAGGAAAAAACAAGCTGTTGAGGTTGGGCTCCTATTACTTAATAATTGAAACTTTCATGTGGTGCCAAAAATTTGGAAATAAAAAAATGCAGTTTGCTTTTACAGATGTACAGACTTGTTTCAGTAAGTGTGTGTGTTTTTTAATAACCTTCTTGCTTTCCTCTATTGCTCTGAGTCGTTCTCTTTCCTGCTGCTCCCATGCCAAACGCCGGCGGGCCTGATGCATGGAGACATGAACACTTAGATATTTGCTCTTACTGGAATTAGATGTCATGATAGGTCGTATCTCTTACCCTTGCATCTTTGTTTTCCTTCCAGTCGTCCTCCAAATGCACCTTGTTTTCTGTGGAGCTTTTAGTGAAGCCTCCTGATGTTCCCAGAAATGCATAGTCTTCCTCTTTACACAAACTCCTCATTGACTAGAACCAGACAGACAACTTCTATCAGTATCAGCGAGATCTTTATCTCAAAAAGTAATATCAGCAACACGGGAGGGACGGTCAGGTCAGGTGGTCTGAAAATAAGAAGCTAAATCTATAATAAATTGTTTTTTTTCTCTGCTGACTGAATTATGTAATGATGAGATTTAACTCTTACTTTACAAAATCAGCAGATAAGCTGCTGTGGAATGCTGCACAGCTATCTGCAGCAGGAAGTTAGAAAAGATGTGATTGAGTCCTTATTTAAAATTCTCTTTCTTTTTAATGGATTTAAAAAAAAATAAACCTTAAAATCTGTGTTTATTAAAATGCTCACTTATAGCAAGTTTTTCTGGCTGATTGTTCTTTTAGGAAGTCTTTTCATCAATTTCAACAATGCAGCTGCAGATTATATACTATATCTTTGCTGTTGACAGTTGTTAGACTTTTATTGTAATTTTGTATACGGTACACAGACTGTGTAAACAAAATTACATTTCCATTTCTTAAATTGCCGCAGTGAACAAATGTAAAAAGAGTGGGAGAAAAAAAAATGTTGCAAAAATAGTTCAGAGCATTAGATATATATATAGTGCAATTATGCAGTATTTTGGTTTGATGTATCAGTATGATGCAGAGTCTGTGACACGATTTAGAGATTTGTTGTTAGTGTAATGTTCTTGTCCTAAAAGAAGCTTCTAGAAGCCGATTCCTTAACCGGCTGTTTTCAATGCAGAAGTAGCTCTACTTTGAGCTCTCACCGAGTTTCAACTAAACAATTCTGGAAATGTATACATTATTTATTTATTTTTAATTCTTCCCAATGGACAAGTTTAACATTGATGTGGACTCAGAGTATTCCTATCTTTAAAACTTATCCACATTCGTCGGTCAACCTTCTTCTTTGTGATTTTAATCTGTTTATTTTATATTTACAACTCTTAGTCGAATTTGATTCTCTCTAGTCAAGTTTTTAACCCACAGTTCAATCTGAAAAACTCACTCAGAGAGAAAAGACAAGTAGAAGAAATATATTTATACAATTATTTTAGTCTTTGGCGCTCAGACCTTGGCAGGAAACATAGCGCTTAATTTTTATAGATATGCATGAACAGGAGCAAAGAACAGGGCTGTTTCCCCCCAGGCCTGAAACTGGTGGTGGTGGAGTGGAGATGAAGTTGGTCAGTCTGTAGACTACTGGTTAACAAGACGGTCTGCTGAGCTTTATGGGGAGATCCAGTGGATTGGAGATGATACTAGAGCTTCACTCAGGGACCTGGAAGATGGAAGTCCAGCTTGGATAATACAGGTTGAGAGAACCTGTCCATGATGAGCAAGCATGAAGCGACAGTAGAGAGGAAAAACTCCCCATTGGGAAGAAACCTCTGGCAGGACTGGCAAACTTTCACTGACTGAAGCAAGGATTCTAAAAATATGTGTTGTTCCATCCTGATTATATCCTTAATTTAATCTAAAGAAGCTGTTCTCTCCGAAGAAACTGCAAACAGTATAAAACATTTTTTTAGATTTTTAATCTAGCATATAGTTTAAAAAGAGTTGATGTCAACCAGATCTCCATCTCCTGGCATTTTAACTGTTGGTTGAGTTTCTGTCAAGGTCTGTATTTCAAAGTTTTCCGCTTTACTTGCTATAGAGAATCACATCATCGTGTTAGGATTAAGGAAATAAAGAGATGGATTTCCCTTCATGGTACATAAAATAAAGTAGCATATAAAATGATTTTATTATCATAGCTTTACATTAGAGCATGCTGAAGGAAACCACATGCGGTGCAAAAGCGAGTTAGCTGGATTAGAAAAAGGCAGAGCAGTTTTACATAATATTATTCTTAAAAGATGCTCGGTATCAAACAATAATTGCAGGATTAAAAAATCAGATTAAAGTGATTATAAGTATCTATTTCAATCTAATGTTTTTAATTAACACACCTTCGACATGGGGATACTTCGGAACCGCTTCAGGTGAGTCATTTTCCAGGCTTGTAGCCCCTAATGCAGATAAGCACAATCTAATCTAAGTTCAATTCAATTTAAATTGCAGAAACATTCTAGCAAAATCTTAAGGTGAGAAAAAGATCATCTACTCACCTGTTTCCCACATAAAGTGTCTCTTCTCTCCTATTGCATGTATATCTACTGATAAAACCCCCTCTGAATGCTTCCTCTGACCAGTTTTGTTATGAGGTGCAGTTGTGTCCTCATCAGGATCTTGTCCCATCAGATCAGCCTTATGAAGGTTTTGACCAGTGAAAGGCCTCAGCTGACGCTACAGTCATTTCCACAGGAGGGTGACAGATATGCCACTTATCCACTAATAAAATCTGAAGATGCTAAAGGGGGATATGGGATCATTATGCTGGCATGTTGCAATTTTTTGCTGTAGTGGAACACTAATTACACAACACTGTTTATTTTTATATATGATAAAATTTGCTTTTGTTTTAAATAACTTTATAAACTTTTTAGTAATCAATTTTTGGTCATTTTAATAAATCTATTTAAAAAAAAAAAAAAAATTTGCAATGCTAATATTTTTTTCAGTAGGTTGCTAATAGGGAGTCACAGTAGTTCCTAGAATTCCTAAACGTAGAATATCAGGAAGTTCAACTACCAGTTTTAGTCCTTGAGCAGGACACCTGGTTAGTTTTAAGGCTAGTCTTAAAATCTTTTTTGACAAAGCGCATTGTGTCTTGGATTACCCTGAGCTATCTCTATAGTTATGCTACTATAGGCGTAGGCTGCTGGAGGACATAGGGACCATTTTTCATCATTCTATTTCTATTCTTCATTTCTGCATTATTTATTAGTTTAAACTCTAACCTTATGTTCTATCTGCTTCATCTAGCCTAGTTCTCTTTAGCTGTGATCCCATCCTGGAGGGAGGCATTAGCTGGGCTGCTGGCCTCAACAACATTTACCATAGATGATAGAATCTGGCCCGTTCTTCAGGACTTATTTAAATAGTTAATAGAAATCATACAGATCAGTGTGATCAGTAAATAAAAAGTTATAGTACAACATGGTTTCTTGCTGCGCTGAAGCTTCTGGATTGTTTATATGTGGTATTGTATTTCATTAAAGAATGTGTGACATTCCTGGGGTGGTTTTGTGGCTTTGTGCATGTTTTCTCTCTGTAGTCACTCTCTCATCTCAGGTCATGCCTATACAGCCATGGAAAAAAAATAATTAGACCACCGTTTAATACAACCCAAATGGTTATGCAATACTGACTCCTGTTTGTATCATGTGACTAAATCAGGTGGGAAAGAAAACAGGGAGGGACTAAAAGCTGTTTTTGACAGTACAATGCCACAGCTTGATGCAAGAACTTACTGAAAATAATTGATCAAGGGTGGAAATAAATGTAAGTTGGGTTGAAATTAAAACACTAATTTCTCAGAAAAAGAAAAAAAGAACATAAAAGAAAAAAAGCAACAACTTCAGGAAACATCTAACAAAAAAACAGACATGAAAGAAACTAAACTAAGATGAATTAAATACAAGTGACAAAGAATAAACCACAGAGCAAGATAAAACACCAAACTATTGTGAACAAGATGAATTGGTATGGCAATACCCAAATAGCAAAATTACTAACAGGCTTAAAGGAAAAGTCCGGTCAGCAAGAATAATGGATCATTATCTATACCTAAAACTAATACATTTGTGGTGATTTAAGGAATTTAGCATTAATCAGTAAAAAAAAAAAAAAAAAAAAAAAGAATTTCCGTTGTGATCACTGAGTCTAGGAGCGGCCATTTTTGCCGAAATATAAGTCGAGCACCATTCTCCCCGCTTTACAAGCGAAATCAATGGGACCTAGACACATTGCAATCCACAACAACTATTTTAGATTTCCAGAGGACTTCACCATTGAAATTAATCAGAGCTATAGTTAAACTGACAATGCCCATGTGCAATGCCATTGGATGGTGTAATACATGTTGGGAAAGGGAAAAAAAAAATAGTTATTACGCCTTTCCAATTCATGACCCTCCACTTACAGGTTTGTCGTTGGATTGCCAACTTGAAGAGGGAGGATTTGCCATTGAACTTCTGGCCAGAGAAAAAACACGTAATCTGTAGCCACATTTGGAAGAAGAATGTTTTCAAGATGACTTGGATAATAGTGCGTTGTGACAAACACCGGATACAATAGTGTTGTTTGACAAACATGGATGTCTCGGGTAAAGCACATTCAAATGAAAATTACTCTTAATTAAAACACTTATCGTTTATTGAACAAAATTTAATAATCTCTGTTAGGTTAAAAAATGTAGGTTCGTAAAAGAAGGACTGAGTTCACACAGAAAGGGATTGTCAAACAGCTTCTGCAGAAGGGGAAAGAGCCAAACCCAACACTCCAACTCTCTTTCCAACCCCCCTCCTTGCAGTGCCTTATTCATTAACAGAACATAACACATGGTTACAAAACAGAGTATTGTTCTGAAAGGACAATTGATCAGGTCATAAGACCTCTACTGACTGAATCACAAGGCAGAGTGGTCTCTTGACTAAATCATAAGACAGAGTGAAGCATCTCCTTGCTTCACTGTTTATATGTACATACATTAATTTTATAATCATCATTGAATAAACCTAACAATCTCATATTTAAAGTACTTTCAGAAGTTTGTATTCTGAATATGACCAGACTTTTTCTTTAAGACTTAGACAACTTCTATTGTCATTTTGTATACACAGAGTGTATACAGAACAAAGTGTAATTATTTTAAAGCTTTCAGAACATTTCCATTCCACAAAGTGCAGCAGGAATCTAACGTAAACAGTGTGGGAGAAAAAAATGGTGCAAAACCACACTGATATGGAAGTTCAGAGCATCAAATATGTATGGTGCAAATATGTAAACATAAGACTGTGAACGGCATATTTTGTGGAAGTTTTGAGAGCTGTTCCTGGGAACAGCTGCCATTTTATTTATTTTTCAACGCTATAGGACCTAGCAATTATATTTTACCCACAATGTATTACAGGAAGAAAACTTATCAAAGTTGTGCGACAATATTACATTTAAATTAATTAAAACTCAACAGCTTACTATGTTTTTACTGTACAATATTTACATAGAAAATAAATATTTTTTTAAATGTTACAACTGCTACAACAAATTGTTGATCATTTTAAGCCTAACAACCTGATTAAAATAGTAAAGTATGTAGATGAAGCAAAGGTTAGTACGTAGAGGGTTAAAATTCAGAAATGTTGTCTACACATGGTCCTACATCTGGTAGTTGATAACCATTCGTCTACATCACCAGGCAGTACCTCGTTTAGAGGTGAGTAGATGCTTGATAAATACTTCACTACAGCTCTTCTTCTTTTGTTACCTCTGTTGGTCAAATGGATAAAAAAAAAAAACCTTTAAGAAGACAGAGTAGTTAACAAGGATTAGTATCTGCAAAACTTAAACAGGACAACACAATATGACGATTAGGGGAATGGAGTGACACTAAAAGATTATCTAATAAAAATACTGGATTTCTAGGGAGGGGTCATCTTTTATTAGCAACAACCCTCCTTTTAGGTTCTGTCCATTTAGTCAGCCATAGATGCTGAAATGTGACCCTGATATTGGCGTTACCATTTTTTTGCCATTATTGTCAAAAACACACGTTAAGTATATCTTTATAGGCAAATCAGTAGGGGTTAAGGAGAAATACACAAAATGCTTATAAAGCTTATCTGATGAGCATTTCAGACGAAACACACATACCTTCGTGTACATGCCTGCAAAAATTCCTGCAATTATATTCAGACGAGATGGGACCATGCTCCTCTTCAAATACTCCTGTTTTTCTTGCAAAAACATCTAAACATGCTGGTTACATAAAAAAAAAAAAACACATAACCCTTGTATCTCACTGACTTTAAATCTGATTATATCGACCCTCTTTTAAGTGGAACTCTACCTATTTGATAGGCTTACTTTAAATTCAGATGTGCTGATAAATCTGTGTTTCTTTGGATATTCATCCAAAGTCTCCCAACAAGAGTTTGCTGTGATTGTGGCCCATTCCTCCTGACAATCCAGAGATCAGGGGTGTCACTTACTAAAAGCCATGGATATCGATGCTAAAAGCGCACTAACGGCAAAAAGACAAAAATAGACTCGGCCTAAAAAAATCTGATTTATGAAACCTGCTTTTTAAAAATTATGTATTTCAGGGATTTTTCCTTCAGGATGTTGGCCAACAGAGATTACCCGCAAAAACAGCAACAGTTTATTGCTTTTTGGAAGCAAAATGAATTATCGCAAGATCATGTAAATTTATGGTTAAATTACATCTGAAGACCTGGCTGTCTAAATATCTATTGCCTTAGCTCTAGAGGAACGTGCTTATATGAATGAGGGTAAATATACTCTTTTTTAAAACGAAGCAAGAAAATGTTTTGCTGTTGTCAAAATGTGGAAAGACGTAGTGAATAAAAATTGCCTCTTTTTCTTCTCTTGTTTTAGAACAAAGTTTGGCAACCATATATAAAACACGTAAGGGAACACCTAAGCAGATTAGTTTATTATCATAATCATTGCAACTTACACATTTGTTTTGAACCTTTTTGTTTTTGTAACTTCTTTCATATATAGGAGTTCTTTACATTTTTACATATCGTAAGAAAAAATATTTTTGAAAATTGAAAAAAAGAATTATTAAAGCAACCTGAGACAGAAAAAGTTCAGTTAAAATTTAAATGAGAGTTTGAGAAATAAAATGTATTTATTATTTTTTTATACAGTGTGTATATGGTTGTATATTTATCTTAAAATTTACCTTAAATGCCTTAAAAATGATCTGTAAAACAAACTTGCAGCAATATAACTTGTTTTTGTGAAGTGAAATGTAATAAGTGTCATCCATCAAGTGTTACATCAGCTCTTGAGGCCAGTGTTTTCTTTTTCTGAGAAAGATAAAGTTGATGATTAAGAAGGAAAGAAAAACATGGAGTTTATGACCAAAACTGGGCCGCCGAAGCAGTGAGAGCTAATAAAATACTATTTCTAGTTCCCAGGTCAAAGTTCTGCTCTAACAGCGACTAAAATAACATTACGTCAGACTTGTGGGAGCACAGATCCTGTTGAGAAGACCTCTCTGCACCAAGGCTGGAGGCTCAAACATCTCCTGCTGTCTTGGGTTAGAGCAGGAATGACATACAAGACTTGACACAGAGCCAAAAAAAATAATCTTTATGATTTTATATTTCCCAAAAATTTCTGCAGATTTTAAAACAAGGATTTGAAACCCTTGCTTCAAGAGCGATAAAATAATATCATAACACATTTAAAGAGAAGGGTGGAAATGTCACAGAAAATAGTATTTGCAGCATGTAAAATAAGTTTTCAGGGGAATTTGAGATGCTACATAAATCAGTGCTCCGGGATTCAGAGTCCCAGCGTACTGTAAAGGAGGAGTCTTTGAGAGACATTATATATTCGACTATATTTCTGCTGCATTTTTTTCTGTCTCAGTGGGGGGAAAAAAAAATACAATTTATATATTTAATTACATTTATAGTTTCTATAGTTTCAATTGTTATATATATATATATATATATATATATATATATATATATATATATAGATTTATAGAATAGGTTTATGATTAAAGATACATATTTTCAATTGAAATGTAATTTTTTGGATTTCAGATATAGATTTGACATCATGATTAAGGATATATATTTCAATTTAAGACTTAAATAATTTATATATACATATATATGTATATGTATGTATATATATATATATATATATATATATATATATATATATATATATATATATATATATATATATATGCTAGCATTATTAATCAACACAAGGTATGGAGTGCCAGATGTAAACAATTATTTATTTCTTTTTAATAAAAAATAAATAAATAAATAAAATTTTTTAAATATAAATAATATATATATATATATATATAAATATATATATATATATATATATATATATATATATATATATATATATATATATATATATATATATATATATATATATATGCTAGCATTATTAATCAACACAAGGTATGGAGTGCCAGATGTAAACAATTATTTATTTCTTTTTAATAAAAAAGAAATAAATAAATAAAATTTTTTAAATATAAATAATATATATATATATATATAGTTTATATATATATAAATATTATATATATTATTTATATTTAAAAAAATTTATTTATTTATTTCTTTTTTATTAAAAAGAAATAATTAATTGTTTACATCTGGCACTCCATACCTTGTGTTGATTAATAATGCTAGCAGCAATCTAATTCCCTTAAATGCATAAATACTAAAATAATAAAATAAATCCGATCAGTTTGCTACCCAGCTTTCCACTGAAATGTCTTACTTGGTTATTTTGTCTTCTACTTGCCTCCCAAGCAGTCAGAAGCAACTCGATTTATTTACCTTTTTTAAAGATCGTCATGTTGTCTGCATCCATCCGCTTTCCCTCTTTCTATACCAGTTTATTCTCTATTGTTTTCCTGTACCTGTTTCTTTTAATTCTTTTTTATTCCACCTTTACTCAAATTCAGATGCATGTTTGCACCACAGTTATCCAAGATTTCCTGCAATTAAAGAAATATATTCTGAGTATTTCTTTTTCTGCAATGAGCTTCAAAAGTTTCCTTTCTGCTTAGGCTTCCTGTTAGATGTTGTTATTGCTCTTCATGGGCTTCTCCAAAACAGTTAATCCAATGTATTGTTTTTCTGCAGAGTCTTGATCAAAATTTACATTATCTTCAGAATACAACAAAAGCAGCAAAAAAGTGTGCTCTAATAGTTTTTAACAATGACTTTATGCTTTTGGTTGAGGCTTCAGTAATAAGTTTTTTATTCATTCAAATCTTGTTATTATAACTATATCAAAACCCTTTTCCAGTTTTTTCAACATGTCGTTTTTTTGTTGCTCATATGTAATTTCCTTAAATAAAGCAAAGCAGTGACATATCACTGTGAAAAATGAAAATTGAAGTGCAGCATTTCAGCCTCCAGGGATTTTAAGGGCAGTTTCAGTGTTGCGAACAAGTCAGAAACATTTAGTCAGGGGAACTACAGACTATTCAGCACTACCTTTAAATGGATGTTTGCACCTTGAATCAGAATAAGACCTCAGAAGGAGAAAAACGTACTTAGTTTTCACTCACTCTGCTGGAATTTCTGTAAGTCTACCACCGTAACAACAAGAGTCTTAGTGCCAACATCCATCCTGTTCATTCCATACAGCATAGCCACAAATCCAGATATTATCTGGGTATTAGGAGTGAGCAGGATTTGAGGATTGTCTTTAAAAGCAACGGCCTCCAACATGAAAGAACTATAACCATATTAGGCCAGGCTGAGGGGTCTTAGGCTTGTCTTTTTTATTTAAATGTCTCAATGAATCATGCTGAAGCCTAGTTTGGCCTCAACAGACCCATTTACCCTTCTGATTATGGATGGATGGATGGACGGACAGGCAGACAGACAGATTTAATTTGGAAATAATTTATAAAAAGTAAATATCAAAATGAAAGGTTGAACAGCTTTTTTTTTTTTTTTTTAGCAGGGATAGGTATGCCGAGCAGATTTAGAGGAATCTAGATGGGTTGCAAAGAAGCAGAAAAAAAATTTCAACCGTAAACTTACATCCAGAACTGTTTTGCTGACATGTCTGCGGTGTCTTTACTGAACAGAAACTGACTGGTGGCAGACAGTTTGAACACATTGTTCCTCTGAGTGCATCCAGGCCAGAGGAGGAAATTTGGGACTATCGGTCTTTGTCAGTCACGTGACAGACACGCCCCCTAGCGCCATTTTTGTGGTGAGCGGAAGAAAAACAAAACAACAGAAGACGAGAGGAGAGCGCTGCATTATCATTGAAATGGAAAAGAACAAGAAAACTGAACGGATACCCTACCCAGACAAACTTTCAAAAGCTGCTAGGGAACGATATTATGCCAAGTTAGCCTCCATAAACAACATTGATCCATACCAAGTGAGAGCTAATAGTTGGCAGTCTGACGCAGAACTCCTACCTCCAACTACCTCTCTGGATATTACCAACTACCTTGTGTATGGGATAAGCGCTTACACTTTTTCAGAATTTCGGAACTACAAATCCCTTGAAGCCCATGGGCACTTTTCAAATGGCTGGGTGCAGGATCTCTTGTCATTTCAACCAGATGAATGTACAAACACGATTGTCACAACCAAGGTAAGACAGCTGTAAATGAGTTAAGTTGCATGAACTGTGAATCCAAGGGTGTAGGTTTGATTTCAACTTTGGTAGGGACACTATTCCTCAGTTTCATTTGTCCTTTGCAAAATATGCATGCTCTTTTTTTATGCTTAATGTGAGCTTCAGGGCTCATTTTGTTTAAAAAGAACAGCAGCATGTCTTGCAACATTAATACAAATGTTTTAAGCACTACATGCACTAGATGCTGTTCATCAAGACTTAAAGCATCACTGGCTCTGATGAATGTGGAATTAGGACTTTTTCCACTTTGAAAAAGATATCATTTAAATGTACCTGTGACTAAGACAGTGTCTGTTTAACCAAATATAGTCTAAATATGTCTGTAATATGTGGATTTATCCTGTGTTTTCTTCTTAAGATATAGAATTGTGCAGAGGTAAACAGAGTTAAAACCCACTCTTTTTTTTTTTTTTTCTAATATGCTCTCTCTGGATCATGACAAAAAAATATATTCAAGGGACGGAAAATAAATGCATTATAATTACATGTGCACTGGAACTATAAGAGGAACTGACACTGAGCATTTAAAATATTAATATTAGAAGTTGTACATCTGGGCTGTGGTTACTCTGTGTAGCTAATTTCATGTATTTAATGTAGGGCTGAAACAATGAATCATATTAACAAATTATTACAGTACAGTAAATGTCTCAAGCCTACCAATTTTTTCAGATTACTAATTTTTTTTTTTTTTTAAATCTCATCTTACAGGTCCTTCATTCCCAACGTCTTAATGATACCCCACTGAAACCCTGGGCCATCATTGAACCAACAGGGGCCATACTATCAGGTCACTGTACATGTATGGCTGGAATCGCAGAGACATGCACACATGTTGCAGCTATGCTGTTCAAGCTGGAGGCTGTCATCAGATGCAGAGAGACAGTTACAGTGACTGGCCAACCTGCTTACTGGATGATACCCAGCAACGTTTCTAAGGTGGGAGCAGAAGCTGGGCACAGAATAGACTTCACCACTCCGAACTCCAAACGAAAGTCCTTGAATAAAATCCTGGATGGTGAAGGAACAAGCATGCCAAGTCCAAGGGCATCCTCAAGCACCTGCCCACATGGCATTGCCACAGAGGATCAGTGGACCTCCTACCTGGCTGGAATACACACGATAACGCCGAAAGCTGCAGTTCTTTGTACTTATCCTGACTATTATGAAGCATTTGTTGATCCTGTGCAACCATTCTTTGCACCAAAGTCACTCTGCCAACTACGGGATGAGAAATTTCAAAATACTGAACTGTCTGCTTTGCTTCTACATTGCAAAACCTTAGCAGACAAGGCTGCAGTTACACCAGAGCAAGCACACTACATTGAAAAGAACACAAGAAAGCAGCAAAATTCTTCAGCTTGGCATCACTTCCGTGCAGTGGCGGCTGGTGAAAAATATTTTTGGTGGGGCTGATATAGCCTAGTGTATGTCTCCAACTAATCCGGAATAAGAATTCAAATAAACAATTGGACAATACATACAATTTAACAGTAATGATTTAATTTACTATATAATAACAGTAACAGTGATGATTTGGGTCACTGTGACGGGGTTCTTTGGCCTCCAAGAATCCAGTCTCAGTCGGGTTACCGGTGTTGGTGATTTATTGAGCTCAAAAACTCAAAACAGGGTGCAAAAGAAACTAAACATGTACAAGATACTCTGGGCCTCAGCCTCCCTCCAGTTACCAGCAATGTAACAAAGAAACAGAAAACAAAAATTGCCGCTTTTCTTCCCACAGCCCTCATTAAATAGTTTAAGCCCCTACCCTCAGGCTCTCTTATTTCTGATTTCTTCTCATTAATCAGTTTTGTCCATATATTACCTCCACGAACAATTGATGTACAAAAACAAATAATTTTTACAACTTAATTCTTTTACACAGATTCATTGACTTATTCAATTACACCAAACTGGGTTTGAACCCAGCAAAGACGCAGCCAGACTGAAGATGACAAGTCCCCGTAGCATAAACACGTACACACCCACACCCCCCACACACCCACACGCACACACACACACACACGGCTAACCCCACTGAAATATTAAGTGTGCACCCTCAATACTCCAGCAGGTAACCAGGACAGCTTGTGTGTTTTAAGTTCATGGAGCTACTGGTCTCAGCGCGAGTGTATTGGTCCTCACAAACACAGTATAACAAGAATGTGTGTGTGGTGCGCAAAGTTAGAGAGGTTGTTTTAAGCGACGAGGTGGATTCGTCACAGTCACAATAACCATGACATGAAATGTTCATATCCTACAACAGGGATGTTCTTCTGGCAAACGGGTAGATAAATAAGGATCTCACCGAATTTGGTGGAAGCTGCATCTCGTTCGTTACGTTCGCCATCTTCCCTCTAACTGTCTGCACCTGCGCTTGGGTTCAGAAGCCTGTAAAAGTGCAGTATTTTCAGCGCCCCAATACCATAAAGTTCCGAGACGCTGATTGGCCATTAGATTCACCTAGCAATAGTACATGATTGACAGATTCTCTGCAAATATGGGTCAGTCTGATCAGCGCCCCCAGAACAGAGACGGTAGGAGTCTGTCTGTGGAAATCCACAAATTAATGACAGTAGATAGGGAAATGTAGTTTATATAATTTGTTTTGCTTATAGGTACACAGTCTAGAGAGTAAAACTGACATTTATGAGTTAATTTCTAAAAATATATTTACGTTTCTCTCTTCTTATCAGGGAGGGCGGTGCCCCAGCGCCCCCTATGGGCCGGCCGCCACTGCTTCCGTGTAGGGCGGATAACAGCATCAAACATGCATTCTGTGTATGTTTCTGATTTGGAAAAGCCTGCACTCACAACCATAAAAGCAGTTTGCCATCTGAACAACAGCAACAGAGCAGGCCGCTGCGCTGCCACAACATGGGGACTTCAAAATGAGGAGAACGGAAGAAGACAGTACAGACTGCAGAGAGAAAAACACCACACTGATTTTGAACTGAGACGGTGTGGCTTCATTGTTAATCCTCATTTTCCAGAGGTTGGAGCATCACCTGATGGAATAGTGCAGTGCACCTGCTGTGGAAGCGGTTGCATTGAAATAAAATGTCCATACAAATACCGAAACAGCACCATCGAGGAGGCATGCAACAGTGGCGACAAGTGCTTTTGTTTGGAAAAACTGGATGAAAAGCTGCAGCTTAAAAAGCACCATCCATATTACACACAAGTTCAGACCCAAATATTTGTTACACACTCAAAGTACTGTGATTTTGTTTTGTGGACACAAAAGGAATGTGCTGTGGTGCGTATTTTGCCAGACGCACAGCTTTGGAGTGCTCTCCTTAAAAAGGCGCATCAATTTTTTAACTGTGTGTGCCTTCCAGAACTTGTGAGTAACTATTTCACTCTGGTTAGAAGACAGGAGGTTCTTCAAGAGATTGCTGCACCAGGAGGAACTCAGGTGAAAACATGTCAAACCACAGATAAAACAACAAACAGTAGAAAAAAGGAAAAAAGTCTAAGATCGTCATAAGTCAGGGACAAGGCTGATGCAGCTATCAGTTGCACAGATAGCTGCAGTTATTAAAGTATTTTGTGCTGCTCATCAGGCCGAACGAAAACACTGGTCATAATTTTTGCACATTGATAAGTTGCACACTGTATTTGCTGTTCACTTTACCCAGGCCTGTTTTCACTGACATTATCTATGTATTTGAGATTTTGTGTTCCATTTTCATAAATTCTCTGCTTCATTGAGAAGAAAATAAAAACGCTTGTTTCAAATTTCAAACTCCACTCTTTATTGTACACACATTTTTACAACTTCAGAAGCATTGTTAATATTTGAAGTGGTGGTGAAACCCACATTTTTTTTTGCTGTTATTTCTCAAAAGTAAAAAAAAAAGTTAACTTTAAAAAAAGCTAAATTCTATTGGTGTGAAAAGAAGAATAAAGTTGAAACAGCACATGATCTGGCTTTCATTTTTACACTACAGTAGGGCAATGATTTGTAAGGGCACAACAGACGGTGACAATCTTGTCCAAAAAAGTGACTTCTTCGCCTTCACATGTTAATAGCATGTTTATGGGTATGGTTCCAGTTAATATTTTGTATTTCTGACAAACATTTCCAATCACCCTTTCGACATGAATTCTTAGATGTGCAATCTTCCTTGTTTCTTCTACATCCTTAGCATCCAGCTGACAGCGCCCCTTTGTGAAGGCTGGAAGCTTGACCTCCGCACACAGCATGCCAACATTTTCCTGTATATCAAAACCTCTGTCAGCTAACACAATATCCCCAGGCAACAACATGTTAAGAAAGCCACTGTTCAAGGTGATATGTTTGTCACTTGTACGCCCACCCCACCCTTTTGATAAGAAACATATAGCTCCATTGGGTGTTATGCCTATTAAATACTTCATGGTATGATTGTGCTTGTAGGAGGAAAACATCTGGGCACGTGCCTTCAAATTAGCAGGTTTCTCTGTGAAAATTTCAAAACAGTCAATAATCACTGTGACTCTATGTCCAAAGGCCTCCACAAACTGATGAGGCATAATTTTGTGCAAGGTGTCTCTATCTGGCCACATAATAGCACGCTTCAGATTTGCATATAAAAATGACAGCATTTCATTGAATGTTCTGTACACTGTCTTTGGTGAAACACGGAAGAGATAAGCAAGGTGTTTTGAGGGCAGATCCAATCTCAGACGCATGAAGGTTAGCAGAAGCATTTGAAATGGACTGAGAATTTTGTTTTGAGCAGACATGAGAGGCAGCAGAAAATTAAACAAAGCCATAAAGGTTGCCAAGTTTGGTAGACCCGTATAGTACTTGACTTTTTCATCACTGTCTCCACAGAAGCCATCAGAGATCCGCAGCTCATCAAGTTCACGCCGCAGCTCTCTGTTTTCTTCCAAAAGACGGTTCATCTCTGCACACCTGAGCACACACACGTTACATTCTGTCTGTCCTTCCTGACGACCACCTTCTGTGTCATCCTTGGTGTGTGGCCGGCTAACGTTTTCAGCAGCCTTCTGCGTGTCAGTATGTTGCTGGTTAGGGTTCTCTGTCGCCTCATCTGTTACTTCATCCTGTTGCTCAAGGATTTCATCAGTCTGATGGAGCCCCGTTTCAGTTGCTTGCAGGGCATTCTTTTTCAGCTGTTCCCGATAACCACGTCTTAAAGAGCGGTCTGTGTCTGTTGGTCTGATGTCAGTGTGGCCCAGATGCAGGGATGGAGCCCAGTCTGGGTCAGTCTCCATCATCTCATATGCGGGTTGACCTGTAAAGTAGATGAAAGGTTGAGTGTTTTACACATCTATTCAAAACACTATATAAAGCACCTTAATAACAGAGCCCATTAGATTAGATGTGTTATAAAATAAGATCTGCTTATGTTTCCCACAGTGGGGAAATTTGCTATACCGAAACAGCACAAGTACATCGGACTAGTAAGGCCAGAGGTAAATAAATAAACTGAAAAGCTTACAGGACGAACAAAGGATTATAATAAATAAACTTAAGTAGATTGCACAGGATGAGTAAATACAGTGAGTTGGCTGACGAGTGGGTATGTACAGTGTTTTTATATATACAGTGTTTTTACATGTACAGTGTTTCTATATATATTTATTCATTAAAAATAAATATTTGTATTGCAGATTGTGTAAATGATTATATACAGAGAATGCATTATTTATTAAATTTTAGCGGTCTAAAAAAGAAATAAAAAAAACACATCACTTTTCGCTTCTCTTCCACAGCATGTTTCAGTAGGTTTACATGAACTCCTGCAACTTTATAAGCAAACCATTTCAGCGTGTTGATTTCTATTAGTGTATATTTATAAGGACTTACCTTTGTGAAAATGCCGAGAGCAAACACGAGCATGAGGGGATATTTTATGGAACGTGATGTCTTTCCTTCTTACAGCAGCGACCCATGCAGCCCGACGCCTCTTTGTTAAGTCCTCTTTCTGCGGTCCGTATTTTTTTTTCCAAGTGGGGAATACGAAAAACCGTACGGCCCCATCTGCTGTTTTCTGTTTAGAATTACTATTGCATCCTTTGACGCAGCACCAGTGTCCCATTATTTCCAAAGGAAGCAACTAGAACACGTCTGCTCTCTGTTAGTTTTCTTTTCTTCGTTGCTGCTGTCTCTTCACCACATAAATGGCGCTAACTACCCTAAATGCTTTGCGCATTTGCGGAAGTGACGTACACTGTCACAGACCGATAGGCAAAGACAGGCATGGGGGGCTCTGCATTGAGAAGACAACACGAAACAGACCCATTATACAAATACAGAAATTTTAATAGAATAGGCATCAAATATTCTAATTCTACATTTTTTCACTCTCTTCTTGTCCCTTTTCTTGTTTTTTTCCTGTTTATGTTTTGTACTCAGCTGACTTTTCATGCTGTCTCAAAAGGAATGAAAGATTTTTTCAAAGCGCTAAGCTCACTTAGCTGATTGCTCCTTCCTGTCTTTCCAAAAAGGTAACATCAAAAGTCACCTTTCACCTGTTCACTGTAGACAAGCCATGATCTGCTTATCTGTTCTCCATTTTGCATTTGCATGAAATGACATCTGCATGAATCATGACAGCAGACAAGATAGAGGAGAGCAGGAGGCGGGGTTACCAATCTACTTGCTCTGGAGAGCAGAGTTCGGTGCATTTGTATGTTGTTACCAAAGTCTCCAGTAGCAGAAAAAAGTCGCTTGATTTGGCGCTAGGTACTTTTTGAAATAAAAGTGCTAGAGGGGTCTGAAAAGTCGATAAACATAGCCAGAAAAAAGCGCTAAGTTGGCAACACTGCTCTTCCCATCATTTGTTTTCAAATGTTTTGTTGCTGTCTGTTTGGACCTTTCTGAACATGTGCAGCAAATGGACTGATCCAATATGGTGGACACTGAAGGCGGCTGGGGGCTGAGACACACATAATATTCTAAGCATTCTGATGGCATCTTAAGGAAAAGATTTTTATCAAAAACATAATTAATGTGCACAAATAAGTAATAGTTGTATTAACCATACATGTAAACAGAGTTTTGTGGGGCCCCCAGGAACTTGGGGCCCTAGGCAACTGCCTAGTATTGCCTAATGGTAAATCCCCCCTGATCCAGGCCAACTATTAATAGGGCACATGTAAAAAAAAAAAAATTGTTAACATATAAGACTCTTTTTGGGATACACATGGTTTTAGTTTCACTAATTCACTTAGGAGGCACTCACAGGAGGTGAGTCGAGTTATTTTTAAAGATGGAGAATCCACAGAGATTGGAGCTCTTGGACTTGGACAGAGTGCGTGGTGTGTCAATCTGTAAGAGCATTAGCAACAATTCTGTACCGTTTTCTCTAGCTTGTTATGTTACAGTGAATTTCTATCCTCATGTATTATATTGCTTTAATGTGGGTCCGCTGCATGGATTAAAAGATCTGGGCAGAGTTGATCTAAATTGCAAATGCATTTAGTTAATTTAGATGCTATCAGCAACAATTTTAGACTCTAGACTTTTGCCCCCAAAAATTTTAAGCTGTAAGTGGAACATTGGATTTTCAAAATATTAAGAACAAATAATTTTTAGATTTTTAATTGTAAAAAAACAACAAGATCAATAACCTCTCCTTTTTTTTTTTCTCTAAAAACGTGCACTCCTTGGACTACTGAACATGATGGAGTTTAAGGATGTATGAGCTTGCATCACTGTAAGGAAGAGGACTGGGGCCACTGAAAAAATAAAAAAAGTAAACTGATTTTTTAAATATTATTTTAGTATTTTTAGTATTTTTTTATTTTAGTTTAATATGCGAAAAAAGTCAGAATTTTTACTTTAACTTCCGAATTCTGACATTTTTTCTCAGAATTCTTACTTTAATCTCAGAATTCTGACTGAATTATACTGAAATAAAATTTAAAAATCAGTTAACCTTTTTCTTTTTTTCCAGTGGCCATAATCCTCTTTCATATCACTGTGATGACATTTAGTAAAAAAAAAAATAAAAAAAAACGGTATGTAAATCAGCATTTTTGTTTTCATGCCACAGTTCCTACCTTTGTATCAAGGGCCATGTATAAAAGTTCATCAGTGACACTTTTTTTTTTTTTACTTTAAACTGAACCTTATTTCAGACAAATTATGATAAATTAACAAGGACAATTTCGAACCTGAGCTGTAAAATCAATTCCAAATATTTGAATGAATGAAGGTGTTGTTAATGATGAACAGGGACAGAACTGATGCTGCCTGTGAGGGGCCCAGTGGGTGGCCAGTGGAGCATTAAGTGTCATGTTCAAACTACAGGTTAACCACCCAACACCTCAGGAAATTTAACCTGCCAATCATCCCAGCAAACAGAAACAACTCATTTCCTGTTGCTACTCTAAAGTATGTCTAAGTGCACCAACATGACCCCAGTATTTTTATTGTCACTATATTTACAGGACCCTCTACTGATAACAGCTCATAAGGTCAATAATAAATATACTATAATTTGAAAGAGTAAGTTATTTTTCTTCAATTTATAAACCATTTTTTCTTGGGCCCGGTGACACCTTGCTGATTTAGCCAGTGTATGCCCAGAATCTCCTAAAATGCCGGCATATGCTGAACTTTCTATGTATTTTTTTATTTATTTTGGGCATATATATATGGCGTATTCATAACAATTCCAGAACTTATGGCCATCTACAACCTAACTTACGTATGCATAACGCATGGAAGTGTAATGCCCGTGCAAAGATGCACAAGCATCATTTCATTGGCATTACAAAGCATCAATTAAAGCTTCTCCCCTCAGGTGCATTGCTGCTCCTGAGGGAGACAGCGATGCAACCGTCCTGCATAAAAAATGTCTTTGATTGCGGTATTAACCTAGCTGCTGTTTACCGCCCACCAACCCAAAAAAAGAACAAATAAAAAGAAAATGTAAGAAAGAAGGTTTGCAGTTGCAACAGATTCTGTGTTATGTCTGTTGGAAAGTTTATTGGTGGTGGCCATGAACGCAGGGAGGATCCATCACATTCACCTTTACGCTCACCCTATGATGGGGATAAAGTCTGTAGCAGAACTGACGGTTTCTTCCTGTGAACCCCTTTTATACCAATACGCCATTATATAGTAGCTGTAAGGTGGGAAACACATTCAGCTGTCTTCTGCAACACATCAAATATGTTGACATGCGTTGGAGGAGTTGTATATAAGTCATGCACAAGTTACTCATAGGTTAAGCTAGAGGCCACCACTTATGTATGTAACATATGTCACAATTAAATAATTTACCTGTGACTAATGCTCCACGTATGAGCATATCTATGGCATACTCAACGTACTCGCTGTATGTCGACGTGTGCCAGCGTGTATCAGCGTACTTCAGCATGCTCATCACTCATACAAATCGTACCCATAACTTATGCAACATCTGCCAGCAGTTTTACCAGATTTCTCGCACATCAGGCATACGCTGGTCTAAATAAACAAGATCTGACAGGGGCTTTATGAACAGTCTTGTCTATTTCCTTACAAAAAAGGGTTGGATGAAAGTAGCTATATATATATTTTTTAACACAATTTTGTTTTCCATTCTTAGTCCTTGTTTTAAACAGAAGGATTATTGGCAGCGTACCACCGCTAACCTTTGTGTGAAGAATCATTGGTTCAATCCAAGTAACTCAAATTGGTAAGAACACAAGCAACGGCAGAACTGCGTCCACATTCACCATAATAAGTGCTATCTGAATAGTGCTGGAAGTTATGAAGGAGCTAGGACCAAGAACCAGTATGCTTCCTAGCGTCGGCTAAGTTAACATAGGGAACTCCTGATGTACCAAGCATCTGCTGCAGGTAGGAACTATCTGCCCATGATCCTTTGACCGAACATACAGGCACAGTTTAACAAAACTGCATCATTCGTTCACATGTACTCTGCAAAAAAACTTCTTAGCTTTGT